TAAAGAACACGTAACCATGTACAAGACAAAATGTGAGATGATACACATATGAAAGCACACCCCAGGGAGGATAAGTAAATATTGAACACATGGTATCACCGATCTGTAATAAAACTTCAAATGAATAAGATAAACTTCACTTAGGCTTATATGGCAAAAGAATGAGGAATTATTTGCTTATAAAGCATGTTAATTATTAATTTTTGTAGAATCGATTTATTTATTTGTTTTGGTATTATTGATTGATGATACCATATCACCTTGCCATGTGGTATCATAGTTGTAATGAATATTTTCTCCCCGAGAGATCTATCACCAAATGAGCAGTCTTTGTCATAAAAAATGAGTTGATATTTTTATCCTAAAATTTGACTTAATTCCCTAACTTAATAAGTAGAGTTTCAAAAAATCTTTGTGGCGGCAACAATCGTCACAAATTATATTTGTGGCAACAAATAAATTTTTTATGACAACAAAAAAAAAAAATTATCCCAAAAGACCCTAATTCTTGTAATGGTTCAATAATATTATTATAGTTGTAATTGTTAGACGTCTTTATTGTAATAATACCACTTGATATATCATAATGTCAATAAATAAAGTCATATTTTTAAGTCTAAAATAATATGCATAAGCAACTGGCAATCACAATAATATAAAGCACCTTCTCTCCAGGCAAGTGTTGGGGGATATATAAAGACATTTAAATGTTTGAATCTTCCAACTTTCCATCATTAGCATTCAGCAAAGCACATCACAGAAAATAGAAGGCCTCTTCAAAACATTAAAACAGCTCCATTAAGTAGTATGACTTGACAAAACTTACAATAAACCACAAAAGAAAAATGACGTGCAACCACGAATGTTCATAACTATAAAAAGACAAGTGGCTTTGATCGCAATTATAATCTGGGCATTTATAATGCTCAATATTTTGCAAAAACACCATAAAAAGGTTTGAGAAAAACATAGTCTATTTTAGCTTGGCAAGTTGACATGTGGGTCAAACAATTATACAAAGCATCGTAAATTCAACACAAAATAAACATAGAGCTAGCGGTTGTTTTTAGTCTTAACGGGTTCGGATGGACACATTAGATAAGAAGGTTGCCAAAAACTTGGCTAAAAATGAGATAATTCTACTAAACATGGCTTATGAAAGACACAAACTCGACATGAAATCAAGTCATCTATAATAGATTATTAGTGGTTTGGATAAGAATTAGACAAATATTAGTATAATATAAATTAGACATAACAAAAACGCAATACAATACGATCAATTAACAATTATATTGGCATGGATGATGGCAAAACAATTCATTTATCATGACCATCTTTACATTGACCAAAAATCTTCCAAGTATCTATCAACATTAAAAATCCCCCTAATTTTATGCCTAAAAGTCCCTGAAATTTTTCCTAATTTCACCAAAATTTGAACCACGTGACTGCTCCCCCTCAAGCAATGTTATTGAGCCCTAAAAACTTAGCTAATTTGCTTATTTAATGATGTAGCAATGACACCATCTATTTTTGCATTATCAAATTCTATAAGAAAAATTGTATGATCATTGTTCTTCAAGTCTTTAATGCTTATAAGAGATTCAAGTGTAAACACTTCAATGATAGATCAAGTCGGTCTACCAGGTTATCTAACCTAATCCTATTATTGACTGAGCAAGTCAACCAAAACTGTGACCATGTAGGCTTTGTGAGTAATTTCACATACATTCTCTCTCTCTCTCTCTCTCTCTCTCTCTCTCTCTCTCTCTTTATATATATATATATATATATATATATATAAAGTAGAACAAAGTTTGAATCCAAAAGACAAAAAGAGGCCCAGATCGTTTTGAGACAAAACATAAACACATCTAACAGACAACGTAATCCCAACATAAAAATGGTTCAGATAATCTCAAAAATGTTGATCTAACGGTTTACAGTTAATCATGAATTTATTTTTTCGCCCATGAAAATGCCTCTTATTGTAAGACTCTACACTCTTTATCTCTCATACGTCTCTATCTTAAATTTAAAAAAGCACAATAACAACTCATATTGAATTTATTTTAAATTAAATGATCTAAATGTTATATGTTAAAAGTGTATTGTTTGTTCCTTGATTTAAGTTGATTTTGATATATATATATATATATATATATATA